ATATGTAGATAAAGTACTCATATACATAAATAAATAATAAAATCTAAAAAAAAAAAAAAAAAAAAAAAAAAAAACCTACTCTGACCCAAAGCAACTTTGAGGAGGAAAGGGCTTATTTCATCTTACACTTCCAGGTCACATTTCATCATCGAGGGAAATCAAGGCAGGAACTGTGAAGCAGGAACCAAAGAGGAATGCTGCTTCCTGGCTTGCTCATGGGCTCAAGCTCAGTTAGTTTGCTTATATAGCCCAGGCCCACCTACCTATGGATGTGCTGCCCATTGTGGGCTGGACCTTCTCACATCAATCATCAATCATGACAGTCCTTCACAGACATGGCTGCACAGGCCAATCTGATCTGGGAGATTCCTCAACTGAGGTTCCCTCTTTCCAGGTAATTCTAGGTATGTTGAGTTAAAAATAGAAACTAAATAGAACACTTGGCCGTCCAATGCCTGCCCAAGGCTTCCTGTTTCAACTCTCTTCACATCAGGGGCTTCCTGAAGCCCCCATCCCCCGACCCAAAGGCTGCCTCTAGAAAACAAGATGGACCACTTCCACCCCGTGCCTCTTGCTTCAGCCCCATGAGCCTCAGGAGCTCTTTACACACCACACTGTGGCCGCCTCAGAGCCCTTGCACATACTGTCCTTGTGACCTAGAACACACAGCCCACACAAGGCAAGTGAGCCATAGCCAGCATCAACTCTCGTCACTGACCCAAGTCCGACTCCTAGTTCAGTCTGGATTCAACAGTCCTGCCTCAGCCTTCCCATGCTTCCTCATGGGAGTTAAGACCTCTTCTGGCCTCTGGGGACACTGCACACGCATGGTGCACAGACATATATGTAGGCAAAACACTCATACACATAACATAAAAATAAATAAATCTTTAATAGATAAATAAGAGCTGGAGAGATGGTCCAGCAGTAAGTTAGGAACACTTATTGCTCTTCCAGAGGACTGAGGTTCAATCCCCAGAGTGGGTCACAGCCATCTGTGACTCCAATTCCAGGGGTTCTAAGTCCCCTCTGGCCTCCTTGGGAACCTGCACTCATGGGCACACACCCATACACAGACACACAGACACACACATGTATGCATAATGAAAATAATAATAATAATAATAATTTTGGGTGAAATGGATAAATAGTGGGCTGGAGAGATGGCTCGGTAGTTGGGAGTTCCCGTTCTTCCAGAGGACCTGAGCTCCATTTCCAGCACCCACATCAGGTGGCTCTCAACTTCCTGGAACTCCAACACTAGGGATCTGATGCCCTACTCTGGCCTCTGAGAGTACTGACCAACAGATACACACACACACACACACACACACACGTACACACACACACACACACACACACACACACACACACACACACACGTACACACGTACACACGCATATAGCTGCAGGGACCTCAGGGAGACCGAGACACTGACTCAGAGCCTGTCCTGGGAACTCAGGGTTCCAATCTACTGCAGATCACAAACCCCAGCAAACCCCAGCCCAGGCATCCTGTCCCTTCAGCATTGACACTGTAGAGTTGAATTTTAAGGCCAGTGGAAAAAAAAAATGCAAGGGTAGCTCCTGGAAGTCTCCAGAATCCAGACCTGCCTAACCAGTTCCCTCTGGGAGTCCCTGGCTCCTGCCCCCTCCGACTGAAAGGTCATTTCTTGCTCCCAAGTTGGAGCTGGCTGGACTTCAGCAGGGAAGGACAGCAACACACAAATTCACTCAACACCTAGGCTTGCTCCCAGAGGCCACAGGCAGAATGAACGCTAACAAGCATGATCTCTCCCAAAGCTGTGTGACCTGTTGGAGGCACTCTGCCTAAATCAACTCAGCTTGACCCCTCCATAACTCTGGAGTATGGAACTTCCCAGGTGAGGGAAACAAAGCTCAGAGTGGCTGGCAATTGACTCAAGGTCACACAGCCTGTGGTCAGGGTGTGGAGGCCCATTTCCAGCTGTTAACCGCTGCACAGCCTCCACTGAACACACACACATTATCCTCCAAGCTTCAACTGCCTTAGGATGCCTGTGAGAGAGAAGATGGGAACCCAAAGCAGTAGCTTAGGGAGAGCCGTTCACCCCACCCTGCTTCAAGGAACCCAGAAACCTGGACAGATGGGCTACCAGAAGTGCCATACAGTACCCCAGATCCAAGTCTGTCCCCACCCACAGGAGCCACCCAAGAAGCCTCCAGATATCTTGTGGGACATCTTCAGCAAGCATCAAATGTAAACACATACTGGGGGAAGATAAATAGTGGAAAACTCCTTATTTCTATCCCTGTGCTACTGTCTGTGACACAGGACAGAACGACAAGGAAAATAATGAAAGCATAAAAAAGGAAAAGAGCCCTCGCCCACGAGTCTGGTAGAAGCTTCTCCCTAGACGAGAAGCAGAATTCTAGCACATGCAACACCTCCTTAAGGTCTTTCTCCATTCCCAGCTCTAAACCTGCAATTTTCTAGGACTTTCACTGAAAACTCCATTTACAGTAAAACATATCCCCAAACCCTTGGGTAACCTTAGAGGTTCTTGATTTAACTTTATCAGAATATAACCCACCTCCAGAGCTACCCATAATTTTACCTAGCAAAGAGACGGGGGTGGGGTGGGGGGAGAAGGGAGATTCTTAGCAACCTTTTGAGAGGTAATTTGAAAGCCAGTAAAATGGTCTATATGGCTGATGCTAAGACACTTATTGTTGCTCCCTTAAGAAGGCCCTGCCCACATTTGGATATATCTTAATCTTTCCTTGAGTGCTTCTCTTTCTTTTAACCCCAGTGCTTAACATTTATGTAAAAATATCTTTTGGCGGACAGTTGTGGTGGCAGCGTGACGTACACCTTTATAATCCTAACCCTCAGCAGGCAAAGACAGCAGGATCTCTGTGAGTTCGAGGTCAGCCTGGTCTACATAGCAAGTTCCAGGACAGTCACAGATACATAGAGAAACCTTGTCTCAAACCAAAACAAAAGTTTTTTTAGGGGCTGGAGAGATGGCTCAGCAGTTAAGAGCATGGACTGCTCTTGCAGAGGACTCAAGTTCAGTTCCCAGCACCCCACATCAGGTAGCTCACAACTGCTAGCCCAGGGGATCTGACACCCTCCATGGTCTGCACAGGAACCTGGCCTCGTGTGCACATCCCCACTCCCTCCCCACACAGACATACATAATTTAAAATAAAACCATTGTTTTTGTTTAAGTAAAAAGAGGGTGTCGGATCCATTAGAGCTGGAGTTACAGGTGGTTGTGAGCCACTACATGGGTGCTGGACCATCTCTCCAGCCCATAAAAACTCTTTTAATAAACGGCAACTCTTCACTGCGAAGCCTCCCTCCCTTGTGTGTTTTTGTTTTCTTGAGCACCTCCCTTTCCACTTTTAACTAAACTTCAACTCTGTTTCACACTGTCTAGTCCTGAAATTCCCTTTTTTGTTGTTGTTGTTGTTGTTTTTTTTTCAAGACAGGGTTTCTCTGTAGTTTTGTGCCTTTCCTGGAACTCGATTTGGAGACCAGGCTGGCCTTGAACTCACAGAGATCCACCTTCCTCTGCCTCCCGAGTGCTGGGATTAAAGGTGTGCGCCACCACTGCCCGGCTGAAATTTCCTTTTAAGTGGAAGCCATAGATCCTGGCCGAGGTCCCTACAGGAACTTCCTCAGGCCACTGAGGGCCAAAGTATGGAGGTTCACATCTGCCTCTCACTGCACACATCTGGAAGAGCAGGCAGTTGCTGGAGGGCTTCCAAAGTCTCCAAATTTTATCAGCCTGCTCCCACCAAGGCAGATTCCAAGCCTGGCTTCCATTCACCAGTCCTAGGGCCTATGATCCCCCTGCCTCAGTTTCCCCATCTGTAGAAGTGGGCAGTGCCACTGCCATCTCAGGAGGCTGGTTTGAGTGAGGAATGAGGCAATTGGCATGCAAGGATGACTTGACCTCTGCTAGGGGACTTTGCAGATGTGGAGGCCGCTCTCCACAGCAACGTAGTCAGCTCAAAATCCACTCACCTGGCTAGGTGTAGTGGTTCATTTTTGTAATGTCAGCATTTGGAAGGTTGAGGCAGGAGGACTACCTAGAGTTTAAAGCCAGCCTGGGCCAAATAGTGGGACCGGTCTCCAAACAAAATAAAATAATCAAGCTCTCCCAAATCCTCCTGAAGTTTTATCTGAATCATGTGACCAGTGCCTCAATTTTCCCCACCAGTGAAATGAAGGTGATTTAGGGATTGGGATGGGTTTCTAGTGTGGTCAGGCACCTCCAGGTGACAGTCCTTGGCTAACCTATTATATTTTAGTTTATTATTAGAGACAGGGTCTCACCCACCCAGGCTGGCTTCAAACTCACTGTGTAGCCAAGGATGACTTTCTGTCATGTCTGTGGTAAATGCTGGGATTACAGCCTTGGGCCACCACACTTCTGGTTTGTGTGTCACAGGGAAACAAAGCACGGGGCTTTGTGTACACTAGGCAGGGGTTCTATTAACTTAACTACACCTCTAGCCCCACCTCCTCTGTCCATTATTGACATGGTACCCCAAATCTGCACTTAGAGACACCAGGACTCACAGGGTGATTAGCCAGGAGAGCCCCAATCTTATCCAGCTCTCCCAAGTTGCACTTTTCTGTGAGCTGATCCAAGCACACAGCCTGGGCACGCTCATCTCCCCTCTCCTGGATCTCCCAGCAACCTAAGGGCCATACCCCATCTGCTTATCTTCCACCCATCTTCCAGCTCAACTGCAGCCTCCTCCAGGAAAGTCTCCACACCCCCTGGCTTTGATCACGGGAGAGCTGATTCTGGGCTCCGGAGAGCTGGGAACCCGCGGGAGGCTGACCTGACTGACCCTCTGGGAGTAGCTGAGCTCAGACTTCCAGTCCCTTGCCCCCTCCCCCATCCCGGCGCTGACTCGGGGGAGGGCTTGGCGGGGCATTCCATAAGGAACTCCCAAGCATACTCTGAAACGACAGAGGCCAGGGAAGGTTGCCTACTTACCAAACTGTCGAGTCGAACTGAGTTTTCACCTGGACTCAAGTTCGCCCCGACTCTCGCTGACAGCGCGCACCCATCCAGTGTCTGCAGCCTGGGACCAGTAAACAGTCCCAGACGTCCCCACCCCATGTCAACAGGACGAAGGAATGCCACCCCTCCCCCCTGGTGGCCTCCGCAGTTTACCCAGCAGAGCCTCGGCGCCCAGCAACATTCTCGGGAAGCCTTTGCCAGATTTGGGAAAGTGAAAGAAGCCCGCGCAGGCTGCCCTGCCTAAGTGGGGACTTCCGAGGCCTATAAATCCTGGGAGTTGGACCCAGTGTGACAAGATGACCCAGACAGACCCCAAGCCTCGGGCCCCACGTGCATCCTCAGCACCCGCCCCGGCCTCAGTGTTCCCACCTGTGAAGCGGGAATGATGCCACCATGATGAGCTCAGGTTTGGTGCGGGAGCCCAGCGGCCAGTGCCGGGTGCTGACCCCGGTGGTCCAAAGGGGACCGAACCCGGGTCAGAAGGAAGCGAGGAAGGTAGGGGGAGCACAGAGAGCAGGGACAGGGTGGGGAGTGGAGGGACAGCCAGGGGAAGGTGGGGTGGGAAGGGGCCGGGATCAGGAGCACAGGAACCGCGACTCCCCCCCACCCCCAAGCAGTTCTCCCAGGGTGGGGACTCACCCGACCACAGAGCAGCTCACCTGGCCTCAGCAACTCCAGCCGCTCACCTGGCCAGGCCCCTCCCCTCCAGGCCCCTCCCCTCCAGGCCCCGCCCCACGTCAGAAAGCGCACAGCCCCGAGTCCTCAGGGTGGGCGGGATCAGGGCAGGTGACTGTGGCTCCAGGCGGGAGGGAGCTGAGGGACACTGTCCCTGGGTCGCCTCCACACCCGCTGCCAGCCCGCAGGTTTACCCTCATTCGGGATGAGACGGGAAACCGGAGATCGGTGCTGAGTTAGGAAACTGAGCCCGCATCCTGGATCACCCGACCCGCCCTCCCAGGCCTGACTCAGGCAGCTCCCTCTGCCCTCGGTGCGTCTCTGTCCCTGCCCGAGAAACGAAGCCAGGGCTGGAGACTCAGAAGCACTCCCACACCCCTATGACTTGCCTCCAGGCACAAGAAGGTCTTGATGTCCTAGGGAGAGCAGACCAGAGGTGGAGGGAGGCACGAAAGTGGCTTTACCAGAGCGTGTCCTTCTGCCTCCAGGCTGCCGCTTCCTCCACTTCCTGATGTCATGCTGGGCCGGCACCTCTTTCCACCTACACCTCATCTCCTTCATCCACTTGCTGCCCACCAGCCTACAACCCCGATGACCCCTAGCTCCTACCCCAATCCCAAACTCAGGCTCCTAGCTGCCCGCTGGATACCCAACCTCTGGAGCGGCACACTCACCCGCTCCCCAACCCCTCCCCATCTCATTCTTCCAATGGTGGGGTCCAAACTGTTGAGTCCTCACATCCTATGTGTGGGACACTCTCAAGCCCTGGCAGCTCCTTCAAAGCATTTCATAGTAGCACCACTTCCCAGTGAGTCAAGTTAGTGATCTCCTGGCGCCTGTCCTTGCATCCATCTGTTCCCACACAGGGTCTGGGGGGCCCTTTCTGAGGACCCTCATACCAAGCTCCACTTGAAGTTTCTCCTGTCCAGTATATGAGGCAGCTCCACAGGCCAGCTGCCCTGCACGGAGGGGACATGGTCCTGAGGAACCAGTTAAAACAGTGCGGGATTGACACCACCCACCTCTAGAGGGTGTAGTGACTTCAGGGGACAGTCGGTGCAAGCCACCACCTCCTGCTTCCAGAAGTAACTGGGCCGCAGGCCAGCAGCGCAGGGCACCTGTGCTGCTCCTCCAGTGGACCCGTTGGAATTGGCTGGACGGTGGGGAAGAGAAAAAATACAGTTCGCTGTATCTACCCCCTCACCCTAGTAGGGGAGGCTTGGCTCACTGAGAGCACTAGCGAAAGTCAAAAATATCTCCGGGCTGGAGAGATGGCTCAGAGGTTAAGAACACTGGCTGTTCTTCCAGAGGTCCTGAGTTCAATTCCCAGCACCTATATGATGGCTCACAAGGAGGTCTGGCGCCTCCTTCTGGCCTGCAGGGATAAATGCAAACAGAATACTATACATAATAAATAAAATTATAAAAAAAAATCTCCGCCCTCCTTTGCTGAGCCCATTGATGAAGCCCCTATCACAGAAGACAGCTTAACAAGCCGGTTTCATGCCAAATTATTTCGTGTAAGATTTTTAAAAATTCATGTGTGTGGGTGTTTTGCTTGCGTGTACGTCTGCACACCACATGCATGCAGTGCCCAGGGAGGTCAGAAGAGGGCATCCGATCCCCTGGAACTGGAGTTGTGAGAGGCCATGTGGATGCAGGGGACTGAGTCTAGGTCCCTCTGCATGTGGAGCCAATGTCCTTAACCAGTGAGCCACCTCTCCAGTCCCATTTCACGTGAGTTTTACGGGACATGGGAAGCTTCGTAAAGAAAGGAAGACCCAGAGAAACAGGCGCATTATGTGTTTTCACACTTGGGTTTGAGGAAGGGTATTAGTCAGGGAGGGATATGATCGGCGGGCAAGAGGTCATGGCTTAACGGAGATAAACCGGGGGAAGTTAACCCCTCCGTTGTGTCCCCACGCCTCAGGAGATGAGAGTGTTCTCTTCCTCTGGGTGTCATGAGGCGCCCCTCATGGGGTCTTGTGGCCTGGTCAGGGGAGAAAGGACAGGGAAGGATGAAAGCCCTGTATTAGTTCCCTGTCTTGTTGCTGTGACAAAATGCCTATGACAGAAAGAGCTTAAGGAAAGTAGGGTTCATTTTGGTCCCCCCCCCCCCCGCTTGAGGGAACAGCAGGGCAGAGGTTCTGAGAGATATGCGGGTGCGTGGGTCATTTTCTCTTTTTTCTTTTCTTTGTATGTTTAGTAAGTGTGTGTGTGTGTGTGTGTGTGTGTGTGTGTGTGTATGTGTGTGTGTGTGTGTGTAGAGGTACCCTCAGAGGCCAGAAGAAGGTGATAGATCCCTGGGAACGGGAGTTACAGCCAATGTGGGCCACCCAACTTTGGTGCTGGGAATCGAACTCAGGTCCTCTGCAAAAGCAGGAAGCTCTCTTAATGGCAGAGCCATCTCGCCTGTTCCTTCCTTCGCTTTGGGACCCCAGCCCAATAGACTGTGACACCCACATTCGAGATGGGTCCTTCTAGGTCTCTGGAATCACCCTTACATCATGCCCAGAGGTGGCACCTAGGTTGAATCTGAACCCTTCACACCATCACTGCTCCTTCCTGAATCAACTTTCCCAGGTGCCACGTTTGGGGGCAGTGTGTTCTGAACCCACATCACTCGCCATTTGGTCACCATGGTGGGATCTAGGCTTAGGATGAGGTAGACTTGGCAGGGACCTGAGTCTGTGGCAACATCGAACATTTCCTGGATCAAACCTGCCTCCGAGGCCTCCTTACCTCAGCTGCATGCACCCAAACCATCTATTGTTGCTTGAGCTTGAGTTATTTTATTCCACAGGAGTCAAAGCACCCTGATGGAAAAAGCAGCCTCTTTATTTTCCTGTCAATATGAGGGATCGAACCTGGTGTCTCCCACATGCTGGGAGAGCTATGCTGCCACTGCTCTGGCTTTTTATCCAAGTTGTCTCTTTGACAAAGCTAGCAGCAGGGAAAAAATCATCCCAGGGGAGGATGATAATCGACTGAGTGTAAAATACACTGTATTAGTCAGGGTTCTCTAGAGGAACAGAACTGATAGAATGTATGTATATGAGAAGGGTTTATTAGAATAGCTTGCAGGCTGTGGTCCAGCCAGTCCAACAATGACTCCCTACCAACAAAAGTTCTAAGGATCCAATAGTTGTTCAGTCCATGAGGCTGGATGTCTCAGCTGGCCTTCAGTATGCTGGGATCTCAAAGAATCAGGCTCTCATGCCAGCGAAGGAATGGACTTGCCAGCGAGAGCAAGCAGGCAAAGAGAGCGAGCTTCCTTCTTCCATGCCCTCTCTTCTCTATAGGCTGCCAGCAGAAGGTGTGGCCCGGATTAAAGGTGGGTCTTCCCACCTCAAAAGATCTGGATTGAAAGTGGGTCCTCTCACTTCAAATGATTTACTAAAGAAAAAAACAAAAAAACAAAAACAAAAAAACAATCCCTCGCGGGTGTGCCCAGCCATTTGGGTTTTAGTTCATTTCAAATGTAGTCAAGATGACCACCAAGAATAGAATAGCTATCACTCACACACACACACACACACACACACACACACACACACACACACACACACACACACACACATACACACGTCTTTACTGACTGGTCACTGGTTTTGCTGAAGATAGCCATGAAATCACCAAATATATGTTAGAAGGAAGAGGCAACAGTGACCTGTGCTAAGTAGAGGCCACTTGCTCCCTGCCCCAGCACACAGTAGGATTGTCTCTGCACAGTAGTATGGTTGGTGGGTCTATCTCCTCCACATTCCCTCCGTACCCTCACAGTCACTTCTGTGTAGACAATTCAACCATCCTGGCATGTGGGCCTGTAAACCAACACAGCACAGCTTGGATATGATTGTCTAACATCTTCCTCCCCACAGAGGACTCGAGGGGGGCAGGAAGCAAAGAACCCAGGCTTCATTCTTTCTACTTCTTATTATATTTATTAATTTATTTGGGGTACGCTATGGTGGCACACGCGTGTCAGGGCGTGTGTGTAGAAGTCAGAGGACAACCTTTGGGGGTTAGTTCTCTACTTCACACACACACACACACACACACACACACACACACACATTAAAACACAGTAAAGCAACCATCAACAGTGACTGCATGGCACAGATATGTGTGAACTACCATTGATGAGAAAGGGCAGAGGCCCGAAAGGAACTGCCCACCAGGCTCCCTCCCTCTCTTTCTTCTGCATTAATCAGGCTGTTGGATTTTCCCTTCTGTTTCTATAACAATAACTTTGCATTCCAAAGGCTCTGCAATAAAAAAAAAAAAAAAGGAAGGATGATAATGGGAAGTGAAGAGTTACCACCGAATGGTGTTACTGCTGCCTTTATTAAATTTGTTCTTACACATGTTTATGAAGTCGGAGGCCCCTTCTCTCCCAAGCAGCAAA